GGCTCGGCACCCGAGGCGTGGTGCTGCTGCAGTGTTTGAGTCAGCACTTCGGTTTTCTTCATCTTGGTCCCTTACCTCCTGCAGGTCGCCCAGTCTCTGTGTGGAGAAGACTTGATCATTAAGGGGATCAGCGTGCACATATCCAACGCCGAGCCTAAGCACAATAGCAATAGACAGTTAGAGAGAAGTGGAAGATTTGGTGGTAATCCAGGTGGCTTTGGGAATCAGGGTGGCTTTGGGAACAGTCGAGGGGGTGGAGCTGGCTTGGGGAACAATCAAGGCAGTAACATGGGCGGGGGGATGAACTTTGGGGCGTTCAGCATTAACCCAGCCATGATGGCCGCGGCGCAGGCAGCCCTGCAGAGCAGCTGGGGGATGATGGGCATGTTGGCCAGTCAGCAGAGCCAGTCAGGCCCGTCGGGCAATAACCAAAGTCAAGGCAACATGCAGAGGGAACCCAACCAGGCCTTCGGCTCTGGAAACAACTCCTACAGTGGCTCCAACTCGGGGGCAGCGATTGGCTGGGGCTCAGCGTCCAACGCAGGCTCAGGTAGTGGTTTCAATGGCGGCTTTGGTTCCAGCATGGATTCCAAGTCTTCTGGCTGGGGAATGTAGACAGTGGGCTGTGGTATGGAATGGTGGGAATTCGAATTTTTCTAAACTCATGGTAAGTATATTGTAAAATACATATGTACTAAGAATTTTCAAAATCGGTTTGTTTGGTGTGAAGTATATTCCGCAGTATTTTTGACATTTTTCTTTAGGGGAAAAAAAAGAAGAGCTAAAGGAATTTTATAAGTTTTGTTACAAAAAGGGTTGAAATATTGAGTGGTTGAAAGTGAGCTGCTGTTTGCCTGCTGGGTAAACCAACACACTACAATTAATATCGAAAGGTTCCTCCTGTAATGTTTTATCCCTGGACTTGTCGAGTGAATCCTTTGCATGTTCAAAGTGGAAGCCATTGATTTGGAGCTACATTCTTTTCTCTTTGGTTTAATTTGAACCCCACCAGATGGATTTTTTCCCTTAGGAGATGATGGTGTCACAGTGTTTGGTCCGTTGGGTTTTGCGTTTTTAACACTTGTCTGCCCTCACATGCAAAAGTACGATATGAAGCCTTCGTTTAATCTCTGCAGTTCATCTCAGTTCAAATGTTTCTGGAAGAAGCACTTCATTGAAAGTAGTGCTGTAAATAGTCTGCCATAGGAAGGCTCTGCACACTCTCCGCCAGGAGCACGCCCTCGGCTGCGCAGGCCGTGTCCTTGACGGTGGGTGTCCCATTTCTATCCACTACTCTTTATTTCATGGAGTCGTATCAACGCTGTGAACGCAAGGCTGTGATATGGAACCAGAAGGCTGTTTGAACTTTTGAAACCTTGTGTGGGATTGATGGTGGTGCCGAGGCATGAAAGGCTAGTATGATCGGGGAGCAGAGCGCGTGCAGAGACCTGGTGGTGCATAATGGATACTTTTAACTTGGGCGAGATGTGTCTCTCCATCCGGTGGCTTTGGTGCGAGAGTGTGCGGAGAGCAATGATAGGAAATAACGTACGAATGTTCTTGCATTCAAAGGACAGCCACATTGTTGGAAGACTCGAAGTGAGTTTTGTTCCTAGATAAGCCACGTTAGCTGAATGTGTTAAGTGAAACGACACTTGTATCTCCCTGCCCCTCTGTCAATTGCTGTGAATGCTGTATGGTGTGTGTTCCCGCTGTTCCTGACCTGTACGTGTGGGCATGTGGACTGGAGCTGCTGGGGTGAGCACATGGACTGAGCTTGGGCTGTGCTTTGCAGGAGTCCTGGGAAGCGGAGTTCAGCAGTGAGCTCAGGTGGCTCCGAGAAGGGTGGAAGTTCCAATGTCTGTTAGCTACCCATACGAATGCTGTTTGCTGCAGTTCTGTGTCCTGTGCTTGGATGCTTTTTATAAGAGTTGTCAATGTTGGAAATTCTTAAATAAAACTGATTTAAATAATATGTGTCTTTGTTTTGCAGCCCTGAATGCAAAGAATCCATAGCAGTTAATTCCCCTTTTTGACCCTTTTGAGATGGAACTTTCATAAAGTTTCTTGACGATAGTTTATTTTGCTTCAAATAAACTTATTGAAAAGTTGTCTCAAGTCAGATGGATTCATCACCTGTCAGGCCTGACACCTGACACCCAGATTTAATTGCTATTCGTTCTTGCATTGTCCAAAGTGAAAAGTTTTTTGATTTTTTTTTCTTTTCCCTCTTTTTGACACAAGTCTGGGTGCCCACCCATGACATGGTAAGCAGTGCCTCTGCGTCTGGGTGGTGCTCTCCCAACATGGCCTGTGTCGGTCTCCATTGGGAAAACATGACTTTAAACATTCTCACTTGGGGGACTGGGCAGTGCAGTAGTATTTCCAGTGCTTTGTAGCAAAACGCGTCAGCTGGAAAAGGACTGTATGAACACCTTCCTAGTTGGGGATTTAAAAAGTGGAATTAATTGCAACAGGGATAAAGTGGAAGAAACCACAGATTTTCTTGTGCCTAAAATCCATTAGAAGCCTGATAGCTTTAAGAACTAGCAGGGGGAGTGGTCTGTCTGAAAGGGTTAAATGGGCCGAGCCGCCAGTTGTGGGGGCGTGCGGTGACGGACAGAGCTCAGACCAGACTCAGCGTGCGTTGTGAAGTATGTGAAAGCAATAATACATTCTCAATTGTACTTTTGATGTAATCTGTGAGAGGAGAGCTCGTTTTCTAATTGGAAGAATGTGATAGTTTTGTGTTGTAGCTTACCTAATCATGCCCTTACCAAATCAGATTATGGTAAATAGGTGTCATTTGTAAGTCACCCTCAGCGTTGTGATTGCCACATTGGTTTGTTAGTCAGTTTCCTCTGTAAAAGGATCTTGAGTTTTGAATTTTTCTGCATCTGAGTCTGCATGATTTCCAAACCCTGTACCATCTGAATTTTGCATTTTAGCATTTGCGCTGTTACTCAGCAGCGGTAACATGGTAACACTCCACAGACTAAACTGACAGCCTGCAAGGAGCCGGGGTAAGTTAACTTGTCAATGGCATGGTTTTACTCCCTTGTTATCACTGTGTAAATCTAGTCACTGGTCGTAGAAGGCTTTCACTGTTGAGTAGCCTTTTATTAACATGTTTCCGCTTCTGCGATAGTGTGGGTGTATATCCTGCCCTAGCAAAAAAATTGAAACTTAGAAGTACTTGAACTATTTGGCAAAGATTTGTTTTTGAAAGTCTATTTGGTCATCTAAATGCGTTTATTCTAAAAAAGATTTTTTTGAACCACACATTGAATAAAAAATTTTATTGCCACCAGTTTAGTGTCCGGAGTCTTACTGGAAAAAACATGACTTTTTTATGATACATGACAAGGATGCTGGAAAGTGACCTTTTTAAGAGGCTCTGCAGAAGCCACACGTGACTCATGCACAAGAGGAATTACCATGGGTGTTTAGAGCGCCTCCTATTCAGCTAAATGGCCGGACTGTTAAGTTAAATCAGTGCTTATTTTGTTTAAAAAAAAAAAAAAGGAGTTTACTACAGAATTCAGGTCTGTGCGAGGACGAGAATTGTTGAGCTCCCGCCCTTGGCTGGCGCGGATGCGGTGGGTGGCCCGGGCTCCAGTGGCGCAGGCTGGAGCAAGAAATGCTGGTGTCTGCTGCGGCCCCACTTCCTTCTACTGAAATGTCTTGTGGAGGCGCCGCGTGGATTCTGTCCTCGGGCGATGGTGGCCTTGTTGGAGCATGTGCCGGGCTGGCCCAGAAGGTCTGTGTGGACGTGGTGTGGACTGCGTCACTCCACGTTCCTGGTGTCTGGCAACTTACTGACTATAAAATCGCAGCTATTTGGTGTTGGTTTTTGTTATCTTTAACCTAAAAATGGGTGAACTCCTACGACTAAAGAATCCAGGTATGCAGTTATCCAAGAAAAGATTCAAAGTGACCTGGGAACCAGCTGTGTGCTTGGAGATGAGAAAAAACTTGGAAACCAGTTGAGCAATAGAAGATAACCTGTGGTTGACAGAAATGTACTGCTTTGTGCCTAACTTAGTGCGGCTGTGACAGCAGTGCGCTTAGCTGGTGTGGGTGGCACCGCGGAGGGAGGGCCGGGTCAGGGGTACTGGGCTCGGATGGCTCATGGATTTCTGAACTTGAGGCGTTTACTGGTTAGAAATCATTATCTTCTTGATCCAGGATATGTAGTTGGTAACTTTGGTGTAAACCCCATACTGATCAGCTTTCCCGCAATGAGAGGCGCCCCAGGACACTATTCCTCCCACAAACCACCTCTGTGTGTGGCCATCAAGGAACACGAGGGCCCCTCCGCTGTCCCCTCTGCAGCTGTCCTTGCCCCCGCTCTGCAGGCCGGCACAAAACATGTTGTCGGTTACCGTGACCCCCGGGTAGAGGGTTCTGTCATAAGCTGCGATGCATTTTTTCTGGTCAACAACTGGAATGTCAATGAACATTAGCTTTCTAGCAAGGAAACCCCTTTGGGTTAATCCCCACCCGGACACTGTTCCCATGTCATCCGTTCGCATGAAGGACTCGGCCTCTTGGCTGGGCAGACAGATGGGTGTGATGTTGGCGTTGATTCTGACTTTGTCCTTCAGCTTGATCAGTGCTATGTCGTTGTCGAATCCAGCATCATGCACATACCCTTCGTGAACAAAGACGGCCTCGGCCGAGGCTTGGGTGTAATCAGACGAGAGTCTCTTCAGGGCACCCATCCGGATGTCCAGGGCCGACGCCTCCTCTCTCTGTCTGTAGACCGCATGAGCGGCTGTCAGGATCCAGTTATCCTGCAGAAGAGCGCCCGCTGCTGTGGTCTGGCCCAGCAGCAGGACTTGCCAAGGGAAGTCACCAGGCCTGGCCGCCTGCCCGCCATAGATCCGGCCTCCTGTGGTGCGGCCCGAGAGCCCACAGACTGGGGAAGGAAGGCAGCACGTGAGAGGTGGCCCGGGGCGGGGAGGGCCCCTGGGCTTGGACCATTTGAATGTGCCCACCCTCCCCAAAGAAAGTGGGGCCTGTTCTTAAATAGTACCACTCTCAAAGACCTGATAAAAACTCCGTGTTTTTGGGCCCATGCGTGGTGACCTAACCGTTTAAGTCCTCACCTTGAATGCACCAGGATCCCATATGGGCACCAGTTCTAATCCTAACTGCCCCGTTTCCCATCCAGCTCCCTGCCTGTGGCCTGGGAAAGCAGTTGAGGACGGCCCAAAGCCTTGGGACCTGCACCCGCCTGGGAGACCCGAAACAAGCTCCTGGCTCCTGGCTTTGGATTGGCTCAGTTCCAGCCATTGAGGCCGCTTGGGGAGTGAACCATCGGATGGAAGATCTTCCTGTCTCTCCTCCTCTCTGTATATCTTCCTTTCCAATAAAAAATCTTAAGAAAAAAAAAATCCATGTTTCTTACCCCCTCAGAAAATGCTGTGAGTTGAAAATCAAATTACTTTAAAAATTTGGATCTGTGAAGCGGAGGAAGCCGCGGAGCAGGGCCAGCAGCCATGGAGGGGCAGGCCTGGCCACTGCTGTCCTCGGGCGGGGTGACGGCTGCCTGACGTGGGAAGGCAGGAACTGGGGTGCTGTTGGGACACCTAGAATGTTCACCTTCAGACACACAGGCGAGGGGCTGGAATTACGGCCTTGCAAATAAATTGTCTTTGTGTATTTCAAATGAATTGTGCTTGCTGCAGTACCAGGCCCTGTGCCTCTTGTTTAGTGCTCAAGTGTGGCCACCAAACAGGCTTTTAGAAACACTCGTTCAAGCCAGATAACGCAGGGCGGTGAGGGTTATTACCTTTCTGTTTAAGCACTAAAGTGTTCATCTTTAGAGCCAATCCTGGTAAAAATGTTGAGTACTATTAAAGGCAAATTGCATTAATGTTTAAAAACTAGATGTCATTAAAAAACAGTTGCTTAGGGAAATAATGAAGTTATTAGCTTTGGGTTTTAATAGCATTTTTACAGAGAAGAAAAGTAACAAGAACTCATGTTTATAAATGTACAAATTGATAGTTTGAGAAATCATTTCATTTTTATGTTTGCCTAGTTATGAGGTCAAAAATAACCCAGTGACTGGTGGAGTCAGCCCGCAGCAGGCCTCCGTATGGGAGGGGCGGCAGAGACAGGCTGTAATTTTAACTTAGCCAAGTTGCGTTCCTGCCTGGCGCAGCTCACGCTGGCACGCCTCCACCCCCCCCATAAGTTACCAGGCTCGCACGCCGGGGGGGATCTTCCTCCCCTGGAACTGGTCCAGAATCCGTCAGCCTCACATACGTATTTACCTGCAAATCATGGGAATTCAGAACTGTGTGCTGCGTGCAGAGGTGGCTGTCACTTGCTTGAATGCCCCGTTGAGAAATGTTAGTTCTTGAGCCTGGGTGGGCGGCTCTGGGTGCCATTTCCCATGATTTCATAAACAGCTTGCAAAGTGGAAACCTTTCAGATGTGTAATGTGAATATGTATCAAGATCTCAAGTGCTTAATGATAAGGTTTTGACTTGTTAAATTAAACCATTTGGAATATATTGTGTGTTGGTAGTAGTCATTTACTAGATAAGATCTGTTTTCAGAGTCTTGCAAATTGACATCAAAGCCACTTTCACTGTAATATTTCACTTAGCGGGTGGAAGAAAACGCCTTTTCATTTTTTGCTGTGTAGCCTCTTCCAGAAGTGTCTGTTTATTTCAGACCAAGAAGGCTCAGGTTCCAAATGTTGGAGCATCATGGCATAGCTGGCTAAGTCACTGCCTGGAAGCTGGCATCCCTGGAGACACCACTTCCAGTCGGGCTCCCTGCTGATCTGGGTTAACCCTGCAGAGGCCAGGAAGAAGCTTCTGGCTTGGCCTGGCCCAGCCCCGGCCACTGGGGCCATCTGGGGCCATCTGGGGAATGAGGTAGTGGATGGAAAACTCACACCCATCATCTTCCCTCTCATTCCAAAATAATTTATGGACTCCAGATATGCCCTCGCGCCTGCCCGCTTGAACTCACCGTCCCCCACACTCAGGGTGTAGAAGGGCCCTTCGCAGCTGTACTCAATCACAGCTTTGAACGTGGTCACATCAGCATCTGTGACGTAGCGCACCTGGCCGTTGGCTATGTCCTCCGGAGGGCCGCAGTCAACGACTGAGAAAGAGCACAGGAGAGGGCTTTGGGGCGCGCCTCACTGTTGCTGACTAAGCAGCGGGGCTGTCCCTGGAGGGAGCCACAGTGTGAGACCTTCCCTGAAGGGGATGCCGAGTCACTTGGCATTCCTCTACTGTCCCTCCAAGCCTTGGGCTGCAGCAAAGCAACATGGGAGAGAAAAGGCAGCGTCTGGGTTCAGGCCAAGTGGCTGCCAAGGTAGAAGAGGGCAAGAGAGGCTGGAAGACTGAGGCTGCACTAAGAGGGCGGGGACACTGCTGGTGTGAACTTGTCAGTTCCTAGGGGGCTCTTACAGTGGACAGCCGAAGTGGTCAGGAAGGTGATGCTGGGGTAGGCATGGGCTGCAGGGCTGAGATGCTGCTGGAAGTGGCTATGTCCCCTCTGGGAGCGCCGGCTCCCTGCCACTTGCACACCTTGGGGCACCAAAGGTGGTCCCTGCGCCCTCACGGGAGACCTCATGGAGTCCCAGGCTGCTGGCACTGACCCAGCTTTAGTAGAGGGAATATCTGTTCCAACCATTTTCAGTGATGTCACAGCTGCACAGCTGATTCCAAGCCACGTGCTTGACGTCCACTGCTGGTGCTGTGGTGTGGTGCTGCCCCCGGTCTACAGGGGAGCCGTCAGAGCGGGCGACGTGCCTACAGTGTGTAGTAGAAAAGGCAGGCCCAGGAACTGGCACGGTTACCTAGTGGCTCAAGTCCTCGCCTTGCACGTGCCGGGATCCATATGGGTGCCACTTCTGATCCCAGCTGCCCCACTTCCCATCCAGCTCCCTGCTTGTGGCTTGGGAAAGCAGTCGAGGGCAGCCCAAAGCCTTGGGACCCTGTACCCACATGGGAGACCCTGAAGGGGCTCCTGTCTCCTGGCTTTGGATCAGCACAGCTCCAGTCATTGCAGCCATTTGGGGAGTGAATCAATGGAGAAAGAGATCTTCCTCTCTGTCTCTCCTCTCTGTATATCTGACTTTCCAATTAAAATAATTAAAAAAAAAAAGGCAGGCCCAGTGTTCCTGTGAAGACCTGACCCCCACCCCAACACTGCCAGAACCTGCTTTGGGGACGTATTTCATGCTTGGAAAAATCTATGGTAAAAAAGAAACACCCCCTTGCTAGGGACTCAACAAAAAATGTGAGAATGTCTGTGTGGAGGTGTGAACCCTGCAGA